GGCTCGGTTCCCCTTCCCTGTATAATCCAGCCTTTTTGGTTACCTGCCCATTTTTTGGTCTATCCTTTATACTCCTGGCCTCTTAATCTGGCTTTTCCCTATCCCCTCATCCTTCTCCTCAAAAGGCCCAGCTCAGGACTGTGTTCACTCTGGACTCTCCCAGATATTCCTGCCTCTGGCTATGATCTCCTTTTCATCAACAATAAACCTTCTCCTCCACCATACCTAGAAGCAGTCATGTCCTCTGTTTTTATTTCTTTTCTTCATTCATCTAGTGTCAAAATCACAGGATTGGCATATATAAGTTCCCTTCCACAGAACTCAACCCTTCTGAACCAAGCCACTGATTTTATTCTCAAAGGTAATGATCCAAATGTATGGATCATTTGTGTCTGCTGGCTCCTGTTACCCATCAAATTTGACCCCAAATTCTAGAGTCTGCCTTCTCAGCTACTTCTCCCCTCAATGTGTGAAGTGATTACTTACATTGTTATAATATTAAATAAAACTCAGGAGTCAGATATTGGGGTAAAACCTAATAGATCCAAAGGGCAACAGAGGAATGATGTATTTACCCTGCCTCTCCAGGTTTCCCAGATCTAAAAGGACCTCGTGTCTGTCTCAGTCCCTCCCTAATACTTTCTGTGCCCCCATTTCAGTCCTCCAAAACCTCTTATGGCTAATTCTGGTCAGCCAATCGTTGACTCCACCCTGTAATTCAAGGTAAATTTTGTTGTCAGTCTCAGAGTATTTGTGCAAAAACAAATCCCACAACATTTCCTCCCTAAATAAATATTAAAGGTTTTTAATTCTAACACAGTTATAAGCTATATAAATAAGAACAGTTATCAAGTAAGAATTATACTAACAATGTCCAGTTAATTTGTATTTGGAAAACTCAGAGAAAATATTCCATTATCTATCTTACCTTCATGAGTCCAAAGTTTTGTATCCTAATTCACTTTATATTATAAGTTGTATTACCAACCTAGAAATATCTTTTTAGACCTTAAAATGTTTTCTTAGGTAAAACAACCAAAGCCTTCATGTCTCTCAACCTTTCATCTACACTTTACATCTCTTATGTAAATTTCTTTTCTGAATTTGATAAAAAGGAAAACAGTAGTCTTTAACCCCATCAGAGATCCAAGAAGGATATAATAATACCTGAGGAAACAGGAAGTTGGGAATATGAGTGTCATGTTCTTAAAATTACTTTCTCGTGTCTGGGGGTGACAGAATCTTTGAAGGACCCTGAGAGAATTGAGATAATGATCAAGTCCTAGGAGAGGTAGCTGTTTTCCAGACTCAGTGTGATGGGAAAGTGCAGAGCTTATCTGAAGTCCTGGCTGAAGTACTCTACGAGGCTAAGCCATCTTAGTAACCACTTCGAAGTTGTCCTGTGCAGTTTGTAGTCAAAACTGATCTTTGGATGGTAGTGTTTTTCAGCTTAGTGGTATTACCACAATCCAGGTTGAATCGTTGTTGCCGAGCTCCCATCATCATCTTGGAGACCTCAAAGGTCACTGTCAGAAACAGTCACAGTTCACTGCAGAAAACTTAAATATTTTAAATATCATATGTAGCAGATCTCCAAGAAGTTAAAGGATCACAATCTATTAAATACATCTACGGTACACAAACTTAGTTCCTAGTTACCTGCTCCAGACTCAAGCCTGAGATCATGTACAGTGAAGGCGTAAGTCACAAACAATCCCACATCAGTTTGGAATTATGATTAATAGAATGGTTATTTATTCAAAGGGGAAAAAACTTACAGATTACCGTCCCAGACAACAGCCCCTCTGCGCGAACAGGAAAGGAGTCTAGGAGCCGGAAGCGAAGCGGGAAGCCAGAAAGAGAGTAGAGGACAGACGCTGCTTTTTTAAAGAGAGAGAGACCACGCCCCAATGGGCTGGTATCTCAGCGGCTATTGGCTGAAGGAGCGGAAGGAGCTCCCGCAGCAGTACAGGAAGCTAAATGAAGTCTGTTTCTAGAATTAGTTAGTACTCTATAAGACCATTACTATCAAGACAGAAAATTTAAATATATAATAATTTTATAAATTTTGAGGTAATATTTATATGTTAAAAAAGTTTTAAAGAGTCAAAATAAAGCCTAAGGATTATAATTTTGGTTTTCTTCTGTTCCATGCCAGGTGGTTTTTCTGACATGAGACAGAGATTTTGGATTTTTCATTAAAAAGCCTGCTTAGGTTAGAGAAAGAGAACACCACAAACTATCTCCAAAGCCAGCTTTAATTTTTAATTGAATTAGGACTGCAAAAAAGATCGTTTTCCTTATATGTCTGTAGAGAACAGTAGAAGCAAACATTTGGGAAGCTTTATGAAATTCAGTTCTGTTGGAAATGTGATATACTGTTAGGTCAATCTAATCTTGTTCTCTTTCTTGGAACATTTTCTCTTGATTATTTATCCTTCTTCAGATGTCTCTTTTTTTCCTGTTGTCTTTAGAATCCTTAATTGAATGCTTTTACTCTGCTAGATACATAAAATAAAACCTTGCTCCAATGCTAACTTTGGGGAGTTACCTTTTTCTGTGAGTAAAATCTGATCAAATGTAAGGTATATGTTAGCTTTATAAATTAGTTTAGATTGAATGGTCATGCTGTTTGATGAACTATCACCTCTCCTAATCAAGAGGTCTCAACTTTTGAGCCTAATCTTTATTAATCTTGATGGTGCCCACAACTTTTCTTCTCCTTTGGAAACAAAAGCAAGAGCAAAACTCCCCCCCAAGGTAACACATATCCCGGTTTTTATTCTGAGGTCAACACATCTTTAAAGTATACTGGCTGATTTAATTCAGCAGTTTTTTTTTCTGCTCTTCAATGTCTCTCCACAGAAGTCATCCTTTCTCATTAGCATTTAAAACATGTAAAGTTAATAAAACATTGTGTAATCTATTTCTTGGGGTCTTTATTTAACCTTTCTGTTTGTTGAGCATATCTTTTAAAGTACAATTAGATCTTTCTCTAACTGCATGTCTGGTAGGATTTGAGATGTGGTAGTTTGAAAGAAAAGGGCCCCCAAAGGGAGTGGCACTATTAGGAGATATGGCCTTGTTGGAGGAAGTGTGTCACTGTAGAGGTGAGCTTTGAGGTCTCTTTTGCTCAAGCTTCCTGCAGTGTGACTGTCAGTTGACCTCCTGTTGCCTTCAAGATGTAGCACTCTCAGCTTCAGCATCACGCCTGACTATGTGCTGCCATGATAATAAAGAACTGAACCTCTGAAACTTGGTTCACTTCAGTTGTTTCCTTTATAAGATTTGCTATGGTCATGGTATCTATTCACAGTAATAAAAGCTTAACTAAGACATAAATTATATATAAGGTAATATGCTTTAAGTTGTAATATGCAAAAAAGACTGTTTAACTTTACTAGAGACATATGCTGGGGCATTATCAGTCTTAATTTGTATGGTCATTCCCATAATGACCATGAGTTCTAATAAATGTGTAATTACAGAATCAGCTTTTTCAGCATGCAAAGCAATTACTTGTTGAAATCATGAATATGTATCTATAGTATGGTGCACACACTTTAATTTTCCAAATTCCTCAAAATGAAACACATCCATTTGTCAAATTTCCTATCTTTGAGTACCTTTTGGGTTACTCCCTGGAGGTAATGGAGTTTGGTTATACAAATAACAAATAGGACATTTCCTTATAATTTCTTTGGCTTCTTGTCAAGTGATAGAAAAATCTTTCTAAAACCTTTGTTATTAATATGGTGTTTCTTATGAAATTCTGAGGGTTGTAGCACATTTCCTAGCAATAGGTGATTGATTTTATCATTACCTTGTGCTAGAGTGCCTTGTAGACCCGAGTGGGATCTGATACGTGTTATATACAAGGGATAATTTCTATTTCTGATTATTTCTTGTAATTTAATAAATAGCAAAATTAATTCTGAATCATCTTGAAAAAGTTCAGCAGTTTTCATATGTAAACAACTCTTTCTGCATATTGAGAGTCAGTAACTATATTAAGAGATTCTTGAAAATCTAAAAAAAAAAAAACCACGAGAATAGTATATAATTCTGACTTTTGAATGGAATCATAAGAGCTTTGAACCATTTTACTTAAATTTCAGCATTAGTAAAAGGTACCACAATTTCTGCTGGATTTGTTCCTGTTAATTGACAAAAATCCCAATTTTCCTTTCAGAATCAATTCAGAAATCTTTTCTACATAAGTCTTTAATTTCTGTTCTGGTTGTATGGTGAGGGTTGGGGACACAGCATGTGAGGACATGGGACCACCTGAATACCAGAACTGGTGTTGGGTGACTGCAACTGTCCAGTTTGGGGCCAGGGTGAGCAGTTACCAGAGGCTGCTGCAGGGAGACTGCAATGGGAAAGACCCACAACACACTAGGAGGGCTTGCAGGGAGAAGGGGTGGGAGCTGCCCAAGTAATGTCTGTAGCCACATGGAGAAGTGGAGGCTTCACAGCCATGTGATCTAATGCCCCACATTGGACTCTAGATGAAGTGACTACTTTTATTGTTCTATTATTAAATAAAACTCAGGAGTCAGATCTTGGGATAAAACCTGATAGAGTCAAAGAGCTACAGAGGAGTAATTGGTGTTGATTCTGCCTCTCACACTTCCCAGGTCAAAAAGTTTAAGCCTTTGACCCTTTCTGCTGTGAGTGGTACTGAAGCTGGTAATATTGCTCAACAGGTAAAAGTATTTGTCACACACACAAGCCTGATGACCTGAGTTTGATCCCCATGACCCACAGTGGAAAAAGAAAATCAAGTCCTGCAAGTTGCTTCTGACCTCCACATGTCTAGCCTTTGTCTTTGCTAACTTTGTGAAGCTTTAGCTATTTGGAGAAACTAAGTCATATAAGAAAACTGCAATATTCTATGAAAGTGCACTGTTAAACAATCAGAAAGACGAGGTTCCCAGTCTCTTTGTGGGCTAAAGTCATATTTTAAAAAAAAACTGCAATATTCTATAAAAATACACTAATGTTTAAACATCAGAAAGACAAGGTTCCTTGTCTCTCTGTGGGCTGTCTTTATGGTTTAAAAGTTTGATTTTAATGATAAAGAATCTCAGTTAAACCTTCAATTCAAATTTATAAAGCTCAAACTTAACAGAGATAAAACTGTAAAATCCTCATCTACTAAAAAGCTACTGATTTGTTGCAGTGTTAAAGGAAATTGAGACATGCAAGTTAATGGTCAGACACCTTATAAATGATCATATTCTTTAATGTGTTCAGAACTACACTTGTAGTCATGCTAAATAGAAATACAACTCATTTGCAGGGGCAAACTTTGGCCTTCTGCAAATGTGAAAGTTAAGCCTAAAGCAAATAAAAAAAAAAGTTTGTTTGAAATCAGGTATACTTAACCGATTAATAGCCCTCAATCCCCTCCCTTGTAAATGAAAATGAGGATATGATCCCTACAAGGTATGATCGAGAAGATTTTTATTATAAACTTGAGGGAGAGGACAGCCAGAAGCATCAGGAAGAGTCCAGACTGAACATGGCCAGCAGAATAGACCAGGCCATGAGAGGAGGTGAGGAGAGCAAGAGAAGGAGAGAGGGGAAACAGACAGCAAGGAACAGAGCCAAGAGCAGAACTGAGAGAGCCCTTAGCTAAAATGGCTGAGTCATGTAGGGAAGACAGGGGGTAGTGAAGCTCGGGGGCTGGAGAGGTTTAGGGTACGGGGTGGGGTATGCCAGCCAGGATGACTCTGTAACAGGAGTCAAATAAGTAGGGACTTAGGGAGCCTAGAGCCTAGCATAGACCTTGATATGCTAATAGGCACCAGAGACAGGTTAATGGAAGAGCCGTATATGTCTCTGAGGGAATGCTGGCATTTTCCTAAATAGCAGACTTTAGGAAATGGAATTTCTTGAGACCTAACACCGCGATAGACAAAAATATCAGCTTCTGGTAGCAGCAACGGAGGTTATGCCAAAGAAGAAGGGCAGCAAGGGACTCCATCTGTACCTTGCTTTGAATGTGGTAATGTTAACCTCTAGGCAAAGAACTGCCCCCATGACTAACCCACTACCCAGCCCCCACCCAAGCACAGGACACTGTTGGGTTCACCGCCCTACTCTGACTTACCAAGTTCACCCTACACAGTAAAATCTCTCAGATCTTCTGGGTCTAGAGGCCAAAGGCTGATACTGCCCTGTGTGGCAGCCAAAGACAGAAGACCTTTCTACACCCCCCCCCCCAAAAACAAAAAAAACCACCAAGATCACCATGGAGGATCGCAGGCTGGCTGTCCAGGCAGCAGGTAAGCGTCTGTCATTTTAGTTGTTACAGACGTCATCTGGTTTATACTTCCTACTCAAATTTTCCTTCTCAGATCTCACTGGTGGTGTTGATTGCTTGCCCTGTTTTATCAGTTTAACAGCAACCAACACCAGGTTCTCCCACAAAGACTGCAGCAGCCAGGTCAGTCCATTTTGTAAGTAAAAACCAGGCCTTGCTTTTTTTCCACCAACGAGGTCTCCTGCTGATAAAGGCAAACCCACAGACAGGTTTACCCTGCTGGCAGGCTTCATGCTGAGAGAGATAAACTCACAAAACAAGCTTCAGTGTAAACACACACTGAAGCTACCTTGCTGATACTAAATGTTTACTTTCATTTAAAAGAACTTGCTTTTCAATGACTGCTCTCAACAATCAAGTGCCTATGTCTCATAGTAAATGATTAGATTTTTCCAGATAGAAAAAACAAAGTTTATGCAAGTTGTAAAGGTCTAAGGAAGTGATTTAAGTTATGTGAAAAACAATGAGACTTAAATAGAATACGGCACATGACTTCAAAAGGTCAGAGTCTTAACATTAATCATTGGGGTTCTGGTAAGTTATTAATGTAGCCTTGGTTAAAAACCCTGGCTACTAAAGCTTTTTTTATTCACAGGCCCAAAATTTATAAATTTCCCTTAGTATCATCAGAGTATAGTCCATTTCCCACAAAGTGGTGCCCAACTAGCTGCACTTAGGTCTAGAGACTTCAGGATGCCACCGACAATCATTTTAGGGAAACTCCCATCTCCCACTTGATGATGGCCCGCTTTGAATAAATTCTAACTTGCTTCCCAGGGGAACCTCTTCTCAGAATCTATGTTGTAGTGGGCACTAAGCCATACCTAAGGAGAAAGTTCTGGAGACTGGCATGTTGCATTAAGACCACAGAGATGGGCAAGGGGATGGCTCCAGTGGTAAATAGGCTTAACATAAGCCTGACAACCCGAGTTTGAGCAAAGAACTCACAGAAAGAGCCTGCATGTATGCATGTGGCCCATGTGTGCGCCTGGTGCCCAGAAGTCAGAAGAAGGTTATTGGATAGCCTGGTGCTGGAATTAGAAACAGTTTTAAGTCTGTTTCTGAGAACAAAATCCTATTCTTTAGAAGATGACCATTTCTTTTAATTGCTAACCCATCCTTCCAGCCCCTATAAAAATAGTTTTAAACTAATGTTTTACTTTTTCATCATCTTCTTGAGGAGCAAGTAAGTGAGGGTGTTCCTATAAAATAAAATAAAATAAAATTTTCCAAACAGAAAATGTCCTTGGAAATCCACTTTCTTTCTCTCCCTCACAGCTTCCCTTGAGGATTGTAGGAAACCTTTCTAGAAGAGATAGATTTTGGCTCTGGTCCCCAATGATGTGGGTGGGTGCTCGTGTTAGAGAAGGAAACTCATAATCTACAAAGAGAAACATCTCTGCAGACTAGACTCAAAGCTGTTTCCAAAACCAGCAATGGAGAGATTTCACCTTGAAAGAAAGAAGCTGACAGTTGGATTGTTGACAACACTTTAAGAATCTCAGCGTGAGCTGCAGAAATCACTCAGAAGTTAGAAGTACTTGCTGGTCTTGTACAGCCCAAGAATTGGGTTTGTAGCACCCATGCCAGGCAATTTAGAACCGCCTAGAACTCTGATCCCAAGAAGTCAATGCCCTCTTCTGGCCTCCACAGGCACGTGAATGTGTGGGGCTCACACGCATATACCATAAAGAAAAATAAAATAATTGCAGAGACCACAGGAAAATTCTTATGCTTCCAGTTTATTTGACAGAAAGGAAATTGCCCTATGTTAGCTTTGGTGCCAGCTTAGCCCCACAAAAACCCCTGAAGTGGCTTCTGTCATATCATATAGAAGAAAAAGCAAGGGTTTTCCCCTAGGATTTGCCACCAAGAGAGTTCATGGTCTTTGATCCATAACAGTGTGTCCTGAATTTTCTTTTTCTTAAGAGAGATTTGTTAGAAGGGTTGTTGAGTTGACAAAGGAGAGTTCCCATCAGTAATAGTGAAGCCATTTTCAAAAGAGAAAGGAGTATATCCTGGGGACAGGGTGATGGAGCTGGAGGGCAGCATCCTGTTCTCCACTTCTACACAAGGACCAATTCACCCATCCTGGGAATAAGTTTCCACCTCAGTAATCAAATTCTCCCACTTTAGAGTTGTATTCTGCCTATTGGGGGTAACTGACATCTCTCTAGGGGGAACAGTGACCCTTTCAAGGGCCACAGTCTTCTCCCTAGAAGTTTCCTCCTCAATGGGAGTCATAGTCTGAAGATGGGCAAGAGTTGTAACCATCTCTGCAGAGGTCACAGACTGATTGCCCACTGTGACTGTGATCTCTCCCCACGGGGTCACAGACTGAGTGCCCACTGTGGCCGTGGTCTCTCCCTCAGAGATCACAGACTGATTGCCCACTGTGGCCATGGTCTCTCCCCCAGGGGTCACAGACTGATTGCTCACTGTGGCCGTGGTCTCTCCCTCAGAGGTCACAGACTGATTGCCCACTGTGACCGTGGTCTCTCCCCCAGGGGTCACAGACTGATTACCCACTGTGGCCGTGATCTCTCCCCTAGGGGTCACAGACTGATTGCCCACTGTGACCGTGGTCCCTCCCCCTGGTGTCTGTGTCTGGACTGTCACTGTCATCTCAGTGATGGTCTCAGACAGAAGGTCCAGTGAGGTTGTAGCGTTTGCCCCGGGAGCCATGGTGTTACTTTCTAGAGCTACAGTATGTGTTGCAGGAGACATTGTTCTCCCAGGGGTCACGAATCCACCATTGGGGATTGTAGTCACATTTTCATACTTTCCGTGGCCCTCAGCAGCCATAGTCTCTCCTCCTGGTGGCAGAATCTTTACAGCCTCAGTGGTCAACTCTGTCACAGGCAGACCCTCAGAGTCAGGTCCCGAGGAATTCACAGGCGATGTAAACCAAAACTGTGGCAAAGGGGTTGAGTTCAACTCTAGAGAAAAAATTATCAGAAAAAAAAAGGGTAAGATTTCTACCTCTCCTTTCCTTTATCAATTCCCAACAACTCTAAAGCTACTCCAAAGCTGAAAAATCTGGTCCAAAAATCTAGCATTGAAGAATTTCAAGATTTACTTCCCAGAGGGAAAAGATAAAAATCCCACCACACTGAAGACCTGTTCCTTTACCCTGAAGTGTTAGCATAGACCCAAACTGTGGGCCTTATGTGGATTTGCTGCATTTCTGGTGATAACTCATGGAAGACCCTTAGGTCCCTATGTTTACACCCTCACTTTAATCTCTCTGGGTACCTCTAGCCAGACCCATTGTTCAAGGCCTAATTTGTTGTTAGAACACCTCAAAGAGAGGCCGTCCATAGCCACACTGGAGGAGGCATCAGAAACAAAGCTGAGGCCTGGAGACTCCAGACCACAAGTGGCAAACCATTAGATTAGAACCCATGTAAGTGCTTGGCCTGGCTGAGCTTCAGCCCTGAATCTCTAAAGGAATGCAGATCTTATATTCAATGTTCCAAATGCCAGTGCAGCTGCTATCAACAGGTGTGTGTGTGTGTGTGTTTGTATGTGTGTGTGCACGTGTGCGCTCATGTGTGTTCAAGAAATGAGAAGAAAAACTAGAAATGAACGCTAACTAAAAAACAGTATGCTGTTCAACCATTATCTCATTTAGTTTGTCAAAATGTCCCGCGTCTGGGATTATCTCACTTTCAGATGAGGCAAAGAAAGATCAAAGAGGTCAGATTTGGTTGACATTAAAGTTTGCTGTCTTCCTTCAGTGTCACGTCAAAGAAGTTACACCCAGCAGAATAGACCCACTAGTGTCTGGTCTGCCACTTAGAACCCTGCCTTCCAGGTCCTAGTTACTTACCTGCCTGTACCAAGAGCTCATTCAATATATGGACAAGGGGGAAAGGGCCATTGCCACAGAAAGTGCCGCTGACGTCATCCATGTCCAGTGTCCACACCATGGCACCCCCAAAATGTTCCTTTTTCACGAACATTGCCTATAAAAGTAATAATCAATTACTAACCACCCTCCAGTCTGGGTATAGGGAGAGCAACAGAAGAAGGCAATGAAGGAGGACGTTTACAAAAAGAATCACCTCTATTTCTCATTAGCTATGGGATATTAAAATTTTATATGACTCTTATCTTCCTTGATCACCTCATTCAAGAAAAACAGTGTTTCCAATATTTTTAAGACCAAAAGAATGACTACACACAACAACATGAATGTATTTTGAAGATACCATATAGTAAGTAAAATAATCAGACAAAAGAAAAATGATGGAATCGATGTGATTTCACTTATTGTGCTAAGTATTTAAATCGGTCGACTCACAGAGGCAGGAAGTAGAATAGTCATTGCCAGGTGCCGTGGAGGGGGAGGAAGGGAGTTAATGTTTATGGGTTCAGAGTTTGAATTGGGGGAGATGGAGGGGCTGTAAAGACGAACAGTAAGAGAATCAAACGTCATGTGAGCACATTTAATGGCACTGACTTGTGGGTTTCAACTTGGCTAAAACGCAGGGAAGGCATGCCGGTTCATGCTTGAAATCTCAGCACTCAGCAGCAGGAAATGCAGTTCAAAAGTCGTGGTTACCTAGTGTGTGCCTACGTGTGACCCTGTCTCAACACTCCCAGCCATTAAACAATAGGTAAAATGGTAAACCTTATGTTTTATGTACATAGGAATACTCTTTCGCTTTAGCAGGCACATAGCTAACGTTTCCTAATGTTAGCTACTGTTTCCATATCCCTTGCCTGCTACCATCGTTATCATCAAACTGAACTACGAGATCATTTTATCTTTTAAAATCTTCCATATATTTAATGCTACAGTGTTGCTGAAAAGTAACCATGAAACAGATGCCGTGCACCCTTTATACAGATGAGAGGATCAAAAGGCTATCCTCCATGACTTTTAAAGTTTAGCTACAACTAAATGGCAGGGTTTGCACTCAATTTCCGGACCTGTTGTTATTTTGCTGGTGCTCTCTGGTAGAAACAAACAAACAAGTCCCCAAAGATTCTATCCTATTTAAATATCTGTGGGACATTGCGGAGCCATTTTGCTCTTTTGTGGGATTTATTTTCCAGAAATGTAAAATACAAGAAAGTGGGTGAAGAGTAACTATTAGTCTGAAGCTCCAAGGGTTCTAGAAGCACATCCTACCTACAAGCTATAAGTTTCCTTGGACCAGAGAACAAACTAGTCATAGTGAAATGAGAAGCCAGAACCACACCTTGAATTGGCTCCCTACCGTAGTTCCCCTGCCTCTGCGGGTTTGCCCCTTTAAATACTTAGCATAATAAGTGTAATCATACAGAATTTATCAGTTTTCTTTTGGCTGATTATTCTACTTAGCATAATAGCTTCAAAATCTCATTCACATTGTAGTGTACAGGCATTCTTTTGGACCTAAAAATATTGGCAATATTATTTATTTTTCTTGAATAAAGTGGCCAAGGAAGATAAGAGTCATATAAAATTTCTAAGATTCCGTAGCTAATGAGAAGTAGAGGCTAGAGTCCAATGCAGATTATAGTCATAAATGTCCTCTCTTCATTGCCTAGTGTGAGGGGCTGGAGAGATAGCTCAACTCTTAAGACCACTTATGGCTCTTACAGAGGACCCAGGTTTGCCACATACATACACAGTGGCTCATAATCATCTGTGATTCCAGTTTCAGGGGAAACAACACCCTCTCCTAACCATCAAGAGCACTAACCATGCTAGTGGTACACACACATACAGGCAGGAAAAACATTCGTATCCATAAAATAAACCAATCTGTAAAACTTTCAGGCACTATAACCAACTGATGCTCTCCTGGCTGTGCATGAGGTTTGGACCACAGAGCAGGCTGGACATTGTGAAATTTGGGGCTTAGACAGAAGGGCTGAACTGCCTGGCTTCCCTCTCCACTGGAATGAACAGTCCAGACTGTTTCTGTGTCGACACTGGGATGCTGATGAGGGAGGGGAGAGAATGGTCTTCGAGCACAGGCAAGTGGCTCTGGAAGAATGTGGAAAGATGGCTATCCACTTTAGCATAACTCGCCTGCTTCCTTTGCTAACTCGCCTGCCCTAGGCAGGAGCTAAAATATTTAAAGTAATTGTGTCTCAATAATGACCCCCAAGGTTTCTTTCGGCTCTGATACACTCACAAAATGTTTTAATCATCCCCTCACCAGGTTCATGTCCTCTATGTAGCTCTAGCTCAGCAAGACACAGTAATGCCCATCATTTAAGTCCACTCTCTGTTACTGGTCCCAGGGCCTCCCTGCAACACATGTAGGAGCAGATGAGATCGTCTGCCTAATGTTCTGAGACCATATATTTAAGCTCATCTGATTGGCTGTTTCTATTGAGTCTTCTTTTCTATGTCTTCCATTCCCAAATTAGAGTAAGATCCCAGCAGCTGGAAGCCTTGCTTTCTACTTGAGTTGTGCATAGAAGAAATACACAATGAAATATCATTAATGTCCTACTATCTCTAGTGCTTTTTACCCCAAACTGCCCCCCAAAGGGCAGCCAATACCTACCACTCCCATCATGTACATCAGAACTATGAATTCTCTCTACTCCTAAGACCCAGTATCCAGCAGTTGCCAATACTCACAATCCAACTCTCCTCCAAGATCCAGACCTTCATTATCTTATTCCTAGATCGTTCCTTGTCTCTTAGAGTTTCCAAAATTATAAATATTTACAGCAAGGTCCCAAGTGAAAACACACTAAAAGTAGACTTTTTGAAATACCTACAGAATACAAGCTCAACCAAGAATTTCTATTCATTAAATTTTTCAGAATTATCAAAGCAAAGGAAGGTTTAAGAACATCTGGACAATGAAGCTTCTGCTTGAATTCACGATCACAGAAACCTGTCTAACTCGGAGCTGAGGAGATGGTTGGAAAAAAAAAAAAACCCTCTGCTGTGTAATCTTGAGAACCTGAGTTCATTCCCCAGGACCCACATTTAAAATGTGGGCTTGTATCCCAAAGTCGGGGAGGTAGAGACAGGAAGAGCCCTGGGGCTTGCTAATCAACCAGTCTAGTTGAATCTGTGAACTCCAGTTCACAAAAAAAAATAAGGTGAGTAGAAATTAAGAAAGATGCCTGAAGCTGAGTGGTGGTGGCACATGTCTTCAATCCCAGAACTCAGGAGGCAGAGGCAGGTGAATCTCTGTGAGTTCGAGGCCAGCCTGATCTACAAGAGCTAGTTCCAGGACAGGCTCCAAAGCTACAGAGAAACCCTGTCTCAAAAAAACCAAAATAGAAAAAAAAGAAAAAAAGAGAGACACCTGACATCTGTACCTCTCACCTCCACATGCGCATGCACACACACACACACACACACACACACACACACACACACACAAACACCACCTGTCAGACTCGACTTAATTTATACCACTTGCCCTGGGGAAAGGGATGGTCAATTAGGCTCCAAGTTTCCAAACTGAAAGTCATATACCAAGTCAGATACTCCCACTGAAGGATTAAACTCTCACCAGTATTTTAGACTCTCCATAGAAATACCCTGCCTCACCCAAATTCTACTTTAAACCTGTGAGAAGATGTCGCTCAAAATTCATCATTTCTTCCTGCCCCCTCCTACCTCGGGAAGCCTTTCTTCATTCCTGATGCCTATCAGTAACATCCATGGATGCCTGGTATACTATAAACCCTGTCTGCACACATGTGCACACGCACATACGCACACAGTATACAGGAGAGTCCCATCAAAGCTAATGAGAATCTGAATACTGGAACAGGAAAGAACAAGCATCTCACCTTGTAACTGAAGCTGATGGCGTCATCGTAGCCAACCCACTCCTGCCCCTGGTAGGCATAGGGGACATACTGATAATCAATCCAGTGCTTTTCTGCGTTCTGGATAAAGGAACAAACCTGCCAGGAGGACACAGGTAAGATCAATGAAATACATTGAAGAGAAGCACCAGGAGACTCAGTTGCTCCTTGTCTCAGGAGAAAGGATCCAGGGGAAACCTTTCCCAGGGAGAGAGCGAGCAAACTGTTCATAGAAGGATTCCTCTACATACTGACTATGTCCCTTCTGTTACATGGCCCTTCCTTTAGTGTCCATGGTTTACACACACACACACACACACACACACACACACACACACACACAAAGGTAGAAAAGTGACTGGCATTCACCAGAAACAAAGTAAGCCAGGATCTTCTGCTGTCTTCAGAAACAAGTTTCTCTTAGTTGTTTAGAGCTCAGAACCAGCTGCCCCATCTAGGTAGCTATCTCACTAGTACCTCTAATGCTCTTGAAGGCAGAGTAGACTAGGTTGTTGGAACCCACCAAACTCTTGAGTGCCCACTGAAATCCCAGCATTGTGCTAGAAACCAAATGTTGCAGGGACATAGAAGTGGTCAAGTTCTGCTGTAGAAGGTAATATCTAAGTCATTCTTTGTGAGGTTTTTGTGGTTGTTGTTGCTGGTGGTTAAGTTGTTTGGTGGTTTGGTTGTTCAGTTGGTTGTACTTGAAAGGCTTTGTGTGCTGAAGTTTCCATAATCTATCAGGCCCTCAAAAAACATTCATTCAACTGTGATACCATGCACAGCCATGCTCCATGAGATTAGCAGGAAAATAGCTAGCTCCAGTGATCCAATTGGGAGCAGAGCTTAGAGGCCCACGCAGCAGCTCCACTCCTCCCTAAAGGAGGGCAATAACTCTTCAACTGCTGTCCTCTACTTACCCCCAAAATTCTTCTGTGTATATGTGCGTGTGTGTGTGTGTGTGTGTGTGTGTGTGTGTGTGTGTGTGTGTGTGTGTGTTTAAAAGGCCTGCACTTTATTTAGGCCATAGACCAATTTACCTATGTAACATTTAAGATTTTCCTTTCCATCCATATTCTCCCTGGCCTCTTATCTCTCACAAAGGATTCCACAACCCCAACTGAAAAAAATTTTTCAGTGAATTTCCCTTGTCTGGAAAAAATAACCCGTCTCTTGCCCTGTCTCTAACCCTCACCCACTATTGCTCTTGCACTAGCTCTTGCTCCAGCTTGAGGGAGGAGTCCCAACTACTAGACCGAGGTCTCTAATCCCATCACCTCATAGTAAGCCAGGAAGCCAGCCTGCTTGGTATACTTCCCAGGAGATGCTGGTCCCGTTGAGGCAGCCTGCAATCCATGCTTAGATGCACTGAGGAGGTGAAAGGTACGTCCATAGGTGGGAAAGCCCATGAGTAGTTTATCTGCAGGTGCCCCAAGATTCCTCCAGTAATTCATAGCATATGCCTGTAGGTGGGAAGAAGATAACCTCACCAACTGCCTGGGCTCAAGGATGAAAATCTAGATCCCCTGAGGTCTTCCCTTACCGAAGATTTGGAGTCTTCAGGAAGAGAGAACAGAGGACTGTTGTGTCCTGTAAACTTTTCCCAACTTCCGTGTAAGTCATAAGACAAGACACTAATGAAATCCAGACGTCTGTAAAGAACAGAGGAGCAGATAAGGATGTCAGGCTAACTAAACTACCCAGTTCAGATCATCGCAGCCCTATTCAACTAAACAGCTGTGAGCCAGTCATCAAAGGTTCTTGCTCTTGTGCACCTGCCCAGTTCAGCAAGCCACCTTGGGATGCAATGAATTGCTGGCTAGGGATAGCTGCACACCAAGCTTTGTGCATCCTGAGAGGATAGGTGGAGGTGGAAAGAGCTCAGACAAGGAAGTGAATACATGCAGGCCTGACAGAGTGTGGGCAGAGGCTTGAATAAACTGTCAGGAATCGAACCACAGTGCCATCCCATAAGAGGAAAGCAGATGTATGCCAAAGTACCACTGACGCCCACTCTCCCAGAATGCTTTCATAATCATAATGGCCAAATGTTACCTGAGTATGTATCATGCCAGAATGTAAGGGCTTATGCTGGTTATCTAATTAAATCTGATGAATGTCATAAATAGACTCGTCCTCGCTGTCTGTCTGCTTGCCTGTCTGTCTGTCTTTCATAGCAGTGTCTTTTTTTGAGTTTTTTGTTGTTTTTTTGTTTTGTTTTGTTTTGTTTTTCGAGACAGGTTTTCTCTGTAGTTTTTGGAGCCTATCCTGGCCTGGAACTAGCTCTTGTAGACCAGGCTGGGCTCGAACTCACAGAGATCCACCTATCTCTGCCTCCAGAGTACTGGGACTAAAGGCATGTGCCACGACCGTCCAACTGGCAATGTCTTATTATATAACCCATGCTGATCTAGAACTGACTATGTACTAATCTACACTAATCTCAAACTCGTGATCCTCCTTCCTCTACCTCCCTGATGCTATGATTACAGACGAGTATATAACATCATATAAAACCAACATTTTACATTTTAAAGATAAATAATTGGGAACTCATATCAACAAAATTTTTGAAAGTCACCCAGAAAGGTAAAGGTGGCACTGTCTCACTGTTACCTGGCAACACAATGAGCATTAATAAGCTTTCTCCCCTGTTGGGTCCTCTTTTCCTCCCATGTGAAAACACCCTCCCTCCTGCTATTACACAGGGACAGCATGTCCTCTCTTTCTCCGCATGACCCTTGGTTTCTTTATCTTTAATACTTGATTGTGAGTCAAGAAAATGAGTTCAGAGCCAGCATGTCTAGAAATATTTATAACCTACCTATTTCTTGTCTGCTTTTTTTAACTTTTGCAAAAAGATCTCGTCTGAAATGTGAGTCCAGCTGGGCATTCCTGTGTTGTTTTCCATGGCATTGCATGCTACTCACCTGCCCTCTGACACTGTCGTCTATTGCATGTTATATGTCTATTCGTGTGCTCAGCGGAGGAAGAGGCCAGGCCATGGCATTTGCCATCTATGAGTTCCAGCAATGGGCCCTGAAGAAGACTCTACCTTGGTAATGGTGTTATAAGTCAGCAGTACAAAACCCAGTTCTGAGTTTTTGGATAAAAGCCCAGGAATGGGTAGCATATCACTCCTATCCTAACCTCACAAGCTCCTCACTCCACCCCTCAGCTTACCCCAGAACCTCACCAACATGGGGACAGCAAACGGAGGCTGTCGGACAATCCTCTAGTCACTTTGGAGCAACATCCACTCACCTTCCTAAAAAGCGCACATCATAAGATGTCTGAATGATGTATGGGACACCAGACACAGCAGCCGACAGCAGCAGCCTTGGACGCTGGGTGAGCAGTGCCTCCTTCTCAAAGGCAAACTGGAGCTCCTGGAGGGGGGAGAAATAGAGACAGAGAGAGAGAGAGACAGAGACAGAGAGACAGACAGACACACACAGAGAGAGAGGCCACATGCAGAAATTGTTTACACTCTTTAAGTCAGGCCTGCTTCAGAAAGAGAACACAGACTATGTGAAGACAGACAGGATACCAACTTGATACTTGAGTTAACACAGGGAAAGAGAGCAGGCTGAGAACAAGGCCTGGAAGCTCCAGAGAGAAAGTGTCCCTTAGGCTACAGAGCTGGGGCAAGATCCAGAGGAAGACAGAAACAGCCACAGGGCAACCACTCTACAACAGTGTGACTCAGCATGTCCAGGGAATGTCTGTAGAAGAATATTCTGTTCCTTTCCTCTGCCCCAAACTTGTGTTATCTAACACTTACTGACCCCAAATGAAAAATAAAACCATTTTCTTATTGGCCTTACTTCAACTAAGAAGAGAAAATTCCACCGGTCATTCATGGGACTGCCTCGTAGTCCAGGATACAAGAAAAAGAGATCAAGCCCATCAAAGCCATGTGTTCTCAGGAAGGATATAACAGAATCAATAAACTCTTCACGGCTGGCAATTGTGGCTAGCATAGAGGTGAACCTGCAGGAAGACCAGGGAAAGGCAAAGAACACTGTCTTCAAAATCAGTGATCTCTGAGGCCCTAGAAAGGTCCCCGTCTCATGGCTTAAACTGTCACAAGAAGCAAGTGCTCGCAAGAAGAATTCCCACCCTTGGCCCTTTTATACTTTGGCTTTATTTGATTTTTTTTGTTTGTTTTTTTTTCCATAGCAAAACACTTAAGAGTAATTCTTGCTTATCAGAGCTGAACTTTAAGCAAATCCAGATTAACCTTGTGAAAAGTGATTATAAAATAACTAGACCTAGAAATAACTGGACCTGGATTCCATTGTCTATCAGCCACCACTCAGCCGGGCCCTCTTGAGGGGCAAGGACACCTGGAAGAAGCCTTGCAAGTTCCTCAATACTTGTGACCCTTACTTTCTTTTCCAACAATTTAAAATACAGCCATTTCACAAGAAATCACTCACACATACATATATGCATGCGTGCATACATGAATTCATGAATACATGTGGCATCTCATTTGACTTTAGGTTCACAACAAGTCAAAGAAACAGAGATGAGGCCTGGGGTTGGACAGAGCTAGTTGTTAAACACCTCACACCTGGAATCCTCCATCCCACCTGGGGGTCCCAGGCTATCAGGTCTCTCTCCAAGGCTGAAAGGCAGGCTCTGCCCCAGACCTTAGCTAGGAAGCAAGGAAACTTCCTTCTGAGAATATGAAGGTTGTTTGTCATTCCCCTAGTGTATCTTGGATGGGGCCACTAACAAAAGCAGCCACTGCATGAAGGATGCCTGAATCCCTGCAATAGCACCTACATATCCTGTGTTGCTTCTTTATCGTTAACACAGTCAGCTCCATGCACAGAGTGGGAAAGCCCAGGGCCTGTGACGTTTGGGGGTTACTCTTCTTGTCCTATATAAAACTTTCTTCAGAAACAAAGGCGCTGCCTCCAACAAAAACAACTAAAGATTTATTTGTGCATGTCCCATTTTACCTGTTACTCATTTCTGGTCCTAAGTTTCACATCTGTTGCCTATTTTCCTTGGTATTTTTTCCCGATGGATTTGTATCTCCAAGTGGTCTTGTGTTTTGTTTTGTTTTGGGTGTGTTTTCAGATGGTACCAAGGTCAGACCCAGGGTCTTGTCTTATTGTGGTCATGTTCTCTGCCACTGTGCCGCACTCCCAGTGTTAATGCACCATATTGTCCATATTGCATATCCAAGCTGGCTTTCAGACACACACACACACACACACACACACACACACACACACACACACCATTATTCTCACTTCCAGCTCATCTTGTTCTACCTCCCAGAGAGAAGAGAGTGGCAGAGCAGCTCACCGTGATGTGCCGAAGTTCCAGCCTCCGATGGACAGCAGTGTTTTCAGGGCCCTGTTCCTGGGATGTGGGGGAGAGAGTGGGTAAGTAGGTCCTTACTCTAGAGGCAGCAGCAGTCACTGCTCTTCTTTCTGCTGTGCATTGGAAAAACAATGGCAAATGGAGCAATGGAAGAATAGGAGAGAGCATGGGGAGGGGACCACAGAAGTAAAGGAAAGGGAGATGAATAATCACTCTAAAGACCCTTACAGCTCTGCGCACCAAGACTACAAAGTGCCCCAAGCTCCCTCACTTCCCAATAACATTTTCAGAAAAGAGTCTAAAATCTCTCGTCACTCATTTTCCCATTCACTGAGCAATGACGATGTGCCTTTGGCTGAAATACAACAGCAAACACATAGACAAGCACCCCACGCCTCTTTCAAGCACCTAACCCCTCAAAGGGGGAGCCAGAGTTTACCAGGAGAAAGGAGTGTGAAGCCATCCACGGACAGGCAACACTAACTACCAAGTCATCAAGGCAAGAAGCAGCTCAGGGGGCTGGTCAACAGAGAGCTCTTAGTTAGTGCTCAGATCTCCACTTGAAAGAAAAGTAGGATTAGGAAGACCAGGGAAGCTTAAGGTTAATAAGAGAAATGGGCTGAATTTTTCTCTAGCTCTAAAATCCAAGACCCTAACATACCTCTCCTTGAGTTTGTTGAACTCTGGGTAGAGAATTTTCTCATCCTGGAGATTATTGGCAACAATCTGATTGTTGTTCATTGAGGCAAAGGCAAATATCAGGTGTGTACAAAGGAAGGGGTTCAGATCACGGGGCATGACGGAGGCGGGGCCTGGTCGACTGTGAGCCCAATTGGTGAAATAACATACCAGCTTGTAGGCAGTACCTGGCAAGGACACCAAGTATTAGCAGAGATCATGGGGCAAGGAGGGAGCTCAGCTTCTGGAGGGTAGAGAAAGCACAGCCAAAGAGACCAGGTCACTGTAACAGTCTCCATCCCGCCCACATACATCAACACCTCCTACACATGCCCCTAAAACCCTTGTCTTCGCTGCTGGGAGAAGAGAGAAGCCCTTATCAGTCTAGAGCCGGGGACCTATTGAGCCATACAAACAGCAAGTGACCAGCATTCTGTGCTGAATTCCATTGGATCAATAACCTCTGACCAAGGAGCCAAGACAGGCAGGGTCCAGGAAACACTGAAGGGAGAAGATTTCCTAGCCAGAGAATCTCCCTGGCTATGGAGGAGAGAAGGTGGTTTCCTTACCATCATTGTGTTTCATCAGAAGAACCAGCCCTGCAGGAAATGAAAAAATTCATGGACACATGCAGTGTGGCATGCTTCTGCACACCCTCCGATATGCAAGTGACCCCTCCAGCTCAGCACCATATACACATGCAGATGCACCAATGGTGACACACATCAGTCACTGGTTTCCTCTCCTTCCAAGTTAACAGTGGAGCTAGTCTAAGCCTCTTTCCTAGTAGCTATCACATGTACCTGCACACACTCTGCATAGGGACGATAGCAGAAGTCCTGCTAAAGCGCTCAGCCAGCGGTTCTCAATCTTGGCTATAAATTCAAAAGTACTCATATCAAAGCCCTCTCCTCAGAAATTCGGAATAAACTGGTCCAAGACAAAGCCCAGGCAAGAAAACAACTTGGTTGGAGAACTGCTTCTCTGGCCCTTCCCCTCTTAGTGCCTCTTGATTCTTTGTTATGTCTGTCTCATATTTGTTAATCCAGACTGAGTCCCAGACTGCTCTACTGGGCACCAGAGAAATGACAAACTGGCATCTCCTGAACTTTGTGGCATTGCTAGGATCCGGCATACTCACCAGCCAACAGCAGCAGCCTCCCCATCTCAACTGTCTGGCAGCTACGGGGATGGAGCTCAAGCCCCTTTAATAGGAGCCGGCCTATGTGCAGCATGGGGAGAGCCCAACTACCCATACATTCCATGCCAGAAACGATGACTCAAGAGTCACAATGACCTCAGAAATACTTGTGCTCCCTCTTCAGAATAGCCAGAGTTCTCAGGGCCAACAAAGCCACATCCCTGGCCTGACACGATCAGAGAGTCAGTGTTCACCACAGACTATAACAAAGACAAGGGCAGTGATCCTGAGCCTTGTGTAACAATTGGCCCCATTGCCTGGTATTCCGTTCCCCACAGCTGAGGTAGAGGAGAAACACTGCATGATGGGGTATGTCCACAAAGAAAGCAGTGTATCATGAAGCGTCAAAGCCTCAGTTTGGATTTAGACTTAAGAGCCAAGGTAGCAATCATTTAGAAGCTTTATAGTTTTGGATGAATTACTGAGCCCCTGAAGTTTCCACACATAAAGAAAACCTGAAGTAAATAGCTCATTCTTACCTCCCAGGAATATATAGGGGCAGAAGTGATAGTGTGAAAATTGTGGTTTGCATAAACTAAAAGCATAGTTGACTACAGATGTTATTAGGAAGTTGGGCAAAAGAGCAGGATGCTCAAACCCATACACTGACACTCGCCAGACAGCTCATGTCAACAGGTAAACACTCTAAAACAGCGTGTTCTCTGCATAATACAAGGAGTTCAGACCCAGTGTCAAATGTGCGAAGAATTATCGCACTATCCTTCTCCTCTGACCTTTTGTTGTTGGCTGACATGAAACCTTGTGGTCAGGAGGGGACAGCATGTGGTACGGTAGGGGACAGCAGTCCTGAGCAGCAGCTCTTGGCTGTCCTCATAGAAATGGGCCTGGAGCTGATAGACCCATTACTTTCTCAGCGGGAAAACAAAAAGAACCCTGAAACTTTGTAAGAAAATATTTGGGCAAGTGTATGAGGCAACCATGAGAATGGGACCTGAGCCTCAGGGATAGGAATACGATTATGGACACCCAGGAGCCAATTTTAAAGAAATGCAACAACAATGCAAAATTTTTTTTTAAGTCTGTACATCAAATGTTGCTTTGATCCATCCGATTTCTTTCCCTTTCTCTGTTCCAGATGGTCTCAGACTGTGTGCCCTCTGAGACAGATTCTGCTGTGTATGCATAGGAGATGCTAAGCCGTTCTCAATGGGATGGATTCAGAGAAATCACAGTGCCCAGTGATCAAGTCTGCTGAACATTTGTCCTTCATTTATGAAATGAATAAACACGAAACTCTTAATTTTTAAACCAGGAGTGTGTGTTTGGAAAACAACAGATTGCAGTGAGAAAGCATGGACTTTATTATCAGACTCCAGGGCCCCTTCCTTCCTGCACTGTATCGTCCCTGGGGTCCCTTGCTTCACATAACTTCCACTCCTTGGGCTACTGCTAACCTAAATCAGAAGTTCAGCTCTAATGACCATGCTTTCGTTTCCCAGTCACTACTCATGTGCTAGGGCACACGGATATTCTTGTTATTGGGTCTATAACTTTGCAACCTGATCTATAAATTATTGGAACTACAGTTTGTTTCTGGGGCCTCAATCTTGTCAGGCTATCTTGTCCTGAAGCTCTAATGGTTCCCTTTTAAGACCTTAAGAAATGCTGACCTTTACTTCTGAACCTTCCTCCACTGTGACTCCTACCTTTCTGCAGGGCTGAGATGCCCTTGTGCCCTTCAAATCACACTGCTGCCAGAACAGGCTGCCTACAGGTTGTACCTCATCTCCCCACATCCACATGAGGAGCTATGATGCTGAGACAGATAAGACAGAACAATAACAATGGTTGCCAGCATTGACCTCTGCCTAATTCAGGAGTGACCATTCCAAACACCTTATACATGGTGTATATATAACCACATGTTAAATAAGAATTAAATTATCAGTGTGCTGTACCAATCTGTTTGTTCACAATCTTATTCTGTCAGTTCTTGCTTTAAAACCAAACCAGCCAATGCTTATGTGAAACACCCACGGGCATTTAGAATATATTTCTTTATGCTTAGTCTATTCCTATGCGGAAAGATATTTACTAATGTATGATACTTGGGTAACTGATGAATTTTCAAAAGCAGCATGACCTCTCTCGTATTTCATTAGACTAATGGAGATGAAGGCAGGAACAAGGATGTGAAGTCCTTTGAGCAAAGCATTTAACTAAAACCTTTTGACACTGTAGAGGAATCACAGAAGCATGTTTAAAGTAAATCAGTTGTGTGAAAGAACAAAATCCCTAATATTGTCCGTGTTTCAGTTTCTAGCCAATTACCTCATCTTTGAAGTGAAGGCTATTTCCCAGTATTGTTAAACACGCAGGCTTTTATCTTCATATTGAATGTTTCTGTATTAGAAAACGTGTATTAATCACATAAAGCAAATGTTTTCATAGATCACGTTCCTTCTTCTTTTTTTTTTTTTTGAGACAGGGTTTCTCTGTAACTTTGGAGCCTGTCCTGGAACTAGCTCTTGCAGACCAAGTTGGCCTCAAACTCACAGAGATCCTCCTGCCTCTGCCTCCTGAGTCTTTTACTCCATGTTTGAGAGTATGCCACTACTTATATAAAACTGGATTTAAAAGTTAAGCAACTGTTTCTTACTTTGTTTTGATGATGTGAGTTCTTTACTGAAGGACTCATGACTACCTCAGATTCAAAAGTTAAGCCATCTGCCTTAGGAATGAGAAAACGCACAACCAAGGAAACCAGGCATACTCAGCTTAATATTTCTAAGCCTAGCCAATGCCATGAAAAATTGTAGTGTGTAGAACCTGAACATAATTTAGCTTGTAGACATACAATGTATTCCCAGGTCCAATCTTCACTGCAATGCTGAGAATCCAAGGGAGAACTACTACCAAAGTGGAAACTTTACATTTGAAACTAATTCTTCTTTTAGAACAATGCCTCTACAATAAAATGCTTGTTTAGAATCTGGCACTTTAACATCACAGGGACAAATGAAATGAAATCTGTTATCATGAGTGACTTTCCAACCAATGATATTGGCTGGTTTCTACCAGAACCATGTTAGGGACTAAACTCTACTACTGAGCTTTTGAATTTTGATGATCTATCCCTGACACAAAGAACAACAGTAAATCAATCACATGAGTGGAAGACCAAATTAAACATAAGCTATGACTGTAGGACCACACATTGTGTTCTGTGCAACTTACCAGTTATTCCTCCCTTTCAGAAGTTCTTTCCTCCTTCAGTCCCTTTTGGGTGTACCTGTCCTATTACCACACAGTAAAGATTAAAACATCCATGCTTCCATAGGAAGCCCAAAGCCTAACAGTCGTGAAAACCTCACAAGGAAATGTTTGGATATTCAACAGTGGTTTACTTGCCTTGCTCTCTTCCCAACAGTTGTGCAGACTAGAGATGAAGTTCTGGAGAGAATTTCTGAGACTGGTGCTTGCTTTCCCCCAACAAAAGCAATTTACTGGTTCTGAATTTTCCCCCAGTATTATCCACATTGGCAATTAGCAACTCACTACAAAAGGCTGACTAGATACAAATTCTCTTATCTTCTCCCACACATGGACTTTGTTTACATGCTCCAAACCTTCACGATATACACACACTCTCACGCAAATTAGTATATTGTCTTTTTCTATTCACATTTATTTGGTGAACTCAAAGCTAAGGCAAACAATTATCAAAACACAAAGAAAATACAGGACATTATTCATTCTGTCCAAATCCAGTACCTTTTAAAAACCAGTATCTTTACTCTCCTGTCTAGAAACAGCAATGTCATGACGTCCTTTAAAGTTGATGAGTTTTAGAACACAGTCCTCTTCCCCAATGTCCTGCCTTTCCTTATAAACTAAAGATATAGACGCCCAAAGCAGTTTGAGTTTGGGGTACATTCTTTATGTGCAGATAGATGGGCAAAGGACAACTTGCTGAGTAGTACAGTCCTTTCACCATGTGGGTAGCAGAGACTGAACTCAGGCCGTCAGATTTGATGGCACTTTTACCCCACTAAACAATCTTCTGCCCCTGACTTTGGGTATTTTTGAAGCTGTGACAGTAAGCTACAAGAAATGTCCACATGGCTCTTTACTAAAGCACCAGGGACCATCTGTTCTACAGTGAGATACCTAAAGAATCAGTGATGTCTGATGTCACCCAGGACTATACAGACCTTCAGTGTTTCACATCCCAAGAACTCACTCAGGTTGTCTCAGACCACAGTGGGTCAGCAGTTTGACAGTGGCTGAGGAAAAGCAGTCACTTGTGTTGAGACATTTGAACAGTAACAGTAACCTGAATCAAACTGTTTTTCAACAAGCAAAATGCCTCCATTGTTCCCAGCCACTGGGCCTTGCAGGACTGGAACAATTCTTCAGACAATGAATGACCTGCTGCAACTCCAGCCACAGTCCTGTTTATTTCCAGGTCTTTTATTTTGAACTATCTTCTTTACTCATAATATACAATCACTCAAAAATTATGCTGGTCATTATTTGTGGCTTTGACTGAGTTCATACATCTGTGACAAGTATTAATCAATGTGAACTACTTTTTATTAATACAGGCCTAAAAGGAAACTTCTAAAAGACTTTTATGTGCATGTAAGTGATGGGCCTCTGGAGGCCAGAGGCACCTGATCTGGAGTTAAGGTGGTCATGAGCCTGGGAATCAAACTTAGGCTCTCTGGAGCATTAGAACGTGCTCTCATCCACCCTACTCTTCATTTCTAAACAATGACAAGCTGTAACAGTTCTTCAAAAACTTGTTTCTCTTCTTTGGTTGTCACTTTTTAAATCTTATTTCTTTAAAGTCCTACCCACCACCATCAGTCTTAAGCCCAAGAAACAGGCCATATAAATGTACTGTCTGCTCTTTTTCCCTAGGTGACCACAAACACAAGCTGAGCAGCATAAAGTGAGTCCACCTACCCATCTGATTCTTTCCCCGTAATTTAATAGTATATAACCAAATCCTAAGTTCCAATATAATCAGTATTTATCAACACTCTGGAGTGGCTAGACCAAGAGCAAGTATAAATACATGTTTAAGTTCTTTTTAACTAGCTGCTTTGGGAATGGTGGAAAACAGACACTGGGCAGTAAGACTGACACTCTGGTGACTCACCTAACTGAAGCAGGTAAAAAAATAACAGCTTAGGTAGGGAAAAGGCCAATGATGAAGGTCTTTATTTCACCTTTCAGCATTTCTGAGTTTCCCTATACTAGATCTCAAATCTTAGGAGTCCACAAATACAGCATTTAGACTTCACATCTCCAGAGGAAGGTGCCCAGAGGTCATCAGGCCTCATGAAATCTTTAAGTAGAAAAAAAATGACAAAGATTTCTCTGTAACAAACCAAGTCAGTTTTCTGAATTCACTGAAACACCTTTAAGCGCTCATCATCCCTAAAACTTTCTGTGAAATTTAGGACAGGAAAACACTCATATCTCTCATACAGCAGAAGGAGGGCAAAGGGTGAACAAGAACTACATTCCAACAGCTAAATTTATTCACCCGAAAAATAAAGTTGATTCACTTTAACAGAAATTTGGGGTATTTCCTGTGTCTTCTCAAGGAACACTGGGCTGAACTTCTGTGAATGGAAGTATTTCCTTTAATAATGAATTATTAAATGTATATAAAAATAAGTTACCCCATCTCTGCATCAGAAAATCTAGGAATACCCACATTTCATAACCCAAACAATATAGCCAATTCTTGGACTTGAGAAACATGAAAGCTTCTGGTCACTTTGTGGGGAATAAAGAGCATTGCTTTGGGAAAGCTGAAGGATGATTTCCCCGCCCCAAACTACTCAATACACTCATATGCTTGTACTCACACACACATCCATCTATAAAGGAGTTTTCCTCCTAGTCACACGGGCTGCAGCCTCCCTTAGGCTGAGAATCTGCCTAGTTACTACACAGGACTGGGGAGTAAACATGCTCTCCAAGGCTCCTGTGCTCTCACAACTGGAAGGCATGGGCAAGCAAGTAGATTCTTGCGAGTAGAGCGCTTGTTTTCTGAAATCCATTCTACTCCGCAACATTCTCAGGTCCCGGGGCTGGGAGCGGCTCTATGGGCACAACATGGTGGATGACCTGATGGTCCCAGCCAACCGTGGTAAGGAGGGAGTGGTTGAGTGGAGACCACGTAGCATCTCTCACGAAGTCTCTGTGGGCTCGACTTCTAAACCTAAAACAAAGAAGGGGATATAGGGTGTGGTAAGAGGCGAGACAAAAATCCAGGTGAGAAGACAGAAAGAAAACCTAACATAACTAGAACACATTTTTGAAACATTTGAACATCTGTGCAGCCTCATCACCAGGACAGTGGCTGTTCAATCATCCAATCCGATCTACTTTCCTAGGTGAAGAAATAGTGGGCAGAGCAGCAAGGAAGTGATATATCCACATCTAGGCAGGAAATCCTAGCAAAGAAAGATGCAGACCCAGGTCTTCCGCCCAGTGCCTTCCACTCTACAGCAGGTTCCACTTCACAGAAGCGGTTCCCTATGTGAAGCTGGAATGCTAGCTAGACTTAGCCTAAATCAGACACTTCCAGGGCTCAGACTCTGCAGACACAAGACACAAATGGAGAGAATTCTTTGGGTGCTGGGGGTAAACCCTCTACAGACAAAAATGGAGAATTTTCTTCCATTTATTTTTATTTTTAATAATGTGTGAGAAGTCAGAGGCGTATAAGACTTGGATGCTGGGAACAAAAGGAAGTGTTCTCAACTGCTGAGCCATTTCTCCAGACCCAGCAAAGGAAAACAGACCTGCTTGCCCACTGGTCTGCATCCCTGACACCCCCGATCATGGAATTCTACTTCAAACTTACATCTCAGAAAGGCTTGAATCCAGCACAGCAAGTGAGCAGTCTTCACTGAGAGAGGCCAGAAAGGGAGCACTAGGGGAGGGCACAAAGGGAAGAGAAGATAAAGGCCACAGATACCACAAACAAAATCTGACTGGGCCAGCCCCAACCCCACCATAAACTGAGCCAGGGCAGAAGGCAGCCTGATGCCCACTTTGGGATAAGGTCTTGGTGCCATTACACTTCTAAGAAAAATAGAGGAAAGTCAGTGCTCACAGAAACCATCCTGGCATCCAACTACCCCAATGGGTCCCTCTCTACATTAGCAATTATCCAGAATCAGGCTCTCAACCACATGGTGCCAGAAGCCTACTATATTGGTCAAGCTGGGTTGAACAGGAATGACATCAATTTTGGCTGTTTTCAGACTACACAACCCTAATAACGACTACACTGACTAGTTAGGAAAACCAGGCTAGAGGACTTCCCATCTAAGGAACAAATGCTTTACCAATAGTTACATCCCTTATCACTCCATTCCTACTCCTTCACCATTGTCCCCAAGCATTGCTTCTAGGTCCCTGGTGACAAACAGTACCTGTGTGGAGAGAACACCAGTCTAGTGACACACTGGGAGTGCACAGCTGAGCTGAGGGTACAGCTTGCATTCTTGGTGTCCACAAGGGAGACAGATCCATTCTCATCACCTGTAGAGGAAACAGCATATTGCAGTGGTTAAGAACATATACTTCTGGCTGTGCACGGTCAAGTAGGTTTTTAATCCTAGTATGCAGGAGGCAGAGGCCAGCTGGAAGATCTCCATGAGTTCAAGGCCAGACTGGTCTACACACCAAGTTCCAGGATAGCCAGAGCTAAGACCCTGTCTTAACAACAACAACAAACAAAAACCACATAGGCTTTGATATCGGTCAGACCTGGATTTGAAAGAATCCTAGTTCCTCAAGATATGGACAAATTCGCCACCTGAGCACCAGTTTCCTTTTGCAAGGCACGACCAGTAAGTCACTGCGTGACTGTGACAATTACTGGATAAAGTTATTACTTTAACTACAAGCTATTACTATATGCAGCCACACCCACAGCAGACCATAATTCCCTAAGAGCAAGCTGCTTGCTAAGCGGCTCACTGATTTCTAACCATGCCCAGAATAGGAGAGCTGGAACAATGAGGAATCAAATCAACTAGGGAAAAAAAATATGTTCTCCAAAGCTAAACAAAACTGGCACAATTCATGTAGTGCCTAAGTGTACTGACAAGAGCATGCACACCGTGAAGGCAGCACTTTCTCCTCCTCCCCATTCTAAGAGTCAAGATGCCATGCTGCCTTACCAAAGACAAAGACTTCACTCTGCTGAGGATGCCAAGCCAGGGAGGTAGGAAGGTATCCAGAGGCATTACAGCCTAGAAAGGAAAAAAAGAGCGGTTTGGAACAAGAGCCACACCTAGAAGAAGCAGTTTTTCAAGAAGTCATGAAGTCCTGGGAACACTTTCACTGGGTTTCTTCAATGCTGTTATGGCAGCCATGCATGTCTCCATCCCTGAGTCTCACAACCCACATCTATCCATCACTCTCCAGTCATTTGAAGGCTCACATTTAAGCCACAATGCCTAACAATAATAGCCCTAGTCCTTTTGTCTGTTTGAAGAGAAAACCACCCACCCAGGAGCTAGCCCTTCCTCTTGGTACATGCTGCACTATGGTCAGCAGAATCTCAGTGACAGAAAATGACGCCACAGAGGGTGGGCATCTGGCAACTCTGCTGACTCAGGGCAAAGAAAGCCTCTTCCAAGTGGGATGCTATTACCATTTTCTCCTCATCACTGGTCTCAGACTCACCTATCTGTGATGCTGGCTTGGGACAGCGGGTATCCCAGAGCAAAATTCTACTGTCCTAGGAAGAGAAACAGAAAAAGGGTTTCATAATCCAAAAGAACAGCTGCTGGCCAGTCTCCACAGCAGGGATTGGGCCTATTAAAGCTCAGCTGTGGTTGGAAAGAAACGACTGGATCTCACCTCACTGCATGAAAGAAACACAGAGTCCTTGTGGGGAGAGGCAGCAACACACGTGACCGGTCCTGCATGAGCTGCAAAGGAGAAACATGGCAGAGAAAGGAGAATGTAAGAAATAGGCCTACGTTTATTGTATAACTTTGTAAATATCATGACAGATTATAAACCAGAACAACCACCACAGGAGAAGCTGGTCGTTATAAAAACCTGAAAAAGCTGGGGGAAATAATGAATTGGCAGAGACAATGAAGTTCAATTCCAGGCTTAGTAAGGACAGGAGAGGAGTACAGCACATTTTAAGCAACCCGATTTTCTTATATGCTTTCCCCTAAGACTGACCTGCCTGTACTTTTCCATCACCCTTCTCCCACTTTCTAGGGGCAACAGTTACCTCCCTTCCAGCCAGGTCCTGCATGGATACGCCAGTGTTCAGAGCCTGAAAACCTAAGGCTCTCAAATTAAGAGTCAAAGAGAAAAGGGGGCTCCTGGGAGGACTCAGCGAAGGGAGTGACCCTGTCTCAGTCACCCCACAAATACAAGGCCAGCGCTCTGACTTGCCTCTCCATTTCTAACGTGAAAACTCAAGAGTGAAATGGCTGTTGTCCCAAGAGCACAACCAATTAGCTTATCTGGATTAATACAGCAAGCTGGACTTTTCCTGAGAGAAAGAGAAATCTAAGGCTGCTACAATGCACATTGGTTTTCATTATTGGGATATTTGTAAAGTTTCTAGAAACATGGCAAAAAAGTAACTTCTTGGCAACTATGTTATTTTTAAGAAATACTCATTTATCAATTGTGTATGTGTGCACATGTACTACAGCACTCATGGAGAAACACTCATTCATCAATTGTGTATGTGTGCGCAGGTACCACAGCACTCATGGAGATCAGAGGACAGCTTGTAGGAGTCAGCTCCGTTCTTCCACCAAGCGGAATCCAAACAGGATTCCAAGTTTGGCAGCAAGTATCTTCACCCACAAAGTCATCTCACCTGCCCTACTTAAATCTTTTCATTAACAATTTTTAAATGTATGGGAGGGTATAGCTTTTAAATTCTTTTAGGAGGCCTACATGCAGGGGGGAAAAAAATCATTGCTACAAATTAGCTAAAGGCTGAAGAAACCATTGAGGTCATTTAACCAGTCCTTTTAGAGCACCCAAAATTGTTCTATCTTAAGGATTAAACCACCCTCATCCTTCTATCCTCACTCTAGAATCCGTCTTTATGAATTCAAAATTCATAAAGAATTGCTACCAAAATAAAGTCAACTAATGGTTCTATTAATGAAGCAAATAGAAGAACATTAAAGAAAGTGGTGAAATGCCCAGAAAAGATGTTTTATAGTAGTGAAAATTCAAAAGTTAGGTTCTTAAGTCTTGGGCAGGAGAGATGGCTCAGTCAGTAAAATGTTTTCCACATCAGAAGGAAGACCTAAATTCAACCCCAGAATGCATGTAAAAAGCCAAGCAAGTATGGTGGCACGTGTTATCCCAGCATTGGGGAGCCAGAGACAAGAGCACCCTTGTGGCTCCCTGGCTAGTCAGTCTTGCCTCATCTGTGAGCTCCATGTGAGAGAATCAGTCTCAGAAACCAAAGGAGGCATCTCCAAAGTTGATCTCTGGCCTCCACGTGCAAGCAATAGTCACACATATGCAGAAGTCCCAGGGCTTATTCTCTGAGAACAAGGCTCTACGGTGTCTGGATTAAGCTGGAGAACAGTTTATTGTCAGGATAAAGCTTTAATGCCAACTAGAAAGTGGGATCTTGACCTGTAGCTTACAAGAAACCAATGAAGAACCAAGAGTTAAAGATTACAGGTGGAGAGATGAGGGAGACTGTCTACTGCTAAAGCCTGATGACAAATGGGATGTAAGAAACAGGCAGGAAGGGGACTGACTAAAATGGAGACTCAAAGAACCTGATGAACCCTGAGTATAAGATAGGGGCTGTTGGCCACTGAGGTTTAAACGTTTGACTCCCAATTGGTGGACTACTTAGGAAGGATTGGGGGTGTAGCCTTGTTGGAGGAGGTGTGTCACTGAGGGTGGGCTTTGAGGTCTCAAAAGCCCACAAAGCAAGGCCGCCTTACTATCATCTTTCTGCACACGCTTGTGAATTGGGAGGTAAGCTCTTAGCTACTACTCCATCACCACGACTGCCTGCCTGCCTGTTCCCATTCTTCTCATGATGATGGTCATGAAGTAACCCTCTGAAACTGTAAGCAAGCCTTCAACTAAATGCTTTTTCCTACAAGTTGCCTTAATCATAGTGTTTCACAGCAATATGTGGCCAAAATGTCGTGAAGCCATCAACACAAACAAAAACACAGAGAAACAGACAGGTGGCACATAATGGAACCTGACTGTAGTTGGGGGTAAGGAAAAGACAACCAAGAGAACACAGACTTACTATTATTATTATCCAAAGTTCAAAGATCCCAAAGGAGACAATAAAAGATAACTGTAGCCAGTACCAATCAAGAAGGTATATTTACCTCGGTATGAATTCAGTGACATCTGCTGAGCCAGGTCCCAAATTTTGATGCTATGATAAAAAGAAAAAAAACAAAAAGGAACCCTGACTTACACTATCAACATAAAAATGTACTCAAACAAGAACATGTTTGACCAACATATCCCATACCTGCCTCCAAGACTCCTGCCGTCTTATTTATAAACCAACCAATACTCAAAGGAAACAGACATGCCATTACTCACAAGCCTCTAACAACAGCCCAAAACAGTAATCAATGAAACTAAGGGGATAGTAATGATACCCACAGGAAGCCTAGAGATGGAGTAATGAAAGCAGGGACCCACCAGAAGTCTTTGCTACCACTGACGGCTTGTGTACCAGAGCTCAGGACTGTGACAGTAGACACAATGTCATCATGCTCATACTTGCAGAACTTGCTGACAATAAGCGTCTCATTCTCATCTAGCTCCCACAATTCAACAGCACCTGTTGAGGATAGAGTGGGGTGAGATGCAGGTGAGGGAAGCCCAAGCCTGGGTTAGACCCAGGTGGTAATGCATGCCTAAGACTCAAGCAGGCATTATTACTGAGCTAACAGAAGTTATTCCTGTATAAGCAAAGTCCGTATCATTAAAGGGCTTAGCTCACTTCTAGGCCATTTGGTTTTATGTTACCTTACTGCTTTCCTCACAACAGCCCAGACTTTGTGAGGAAAACTCCTAGAAAAAAAGAAAAAGTGAGATTGATATATCAATTATCTAATTAATATTTGTAGATTGCCTGAAAAAAAAAATGCCCTGCAATACTTTACTTGAAAAAATACTTGCAATGCCAAAGAGGCTCAATCTCTAATGTCCTACTTTTCAACTTCCATGCCCTACCTAACAATTTAAGAATATACATACAACAGGCATGCTGGCACACACCTTTGATCCCAACACTCCCGAGGCAGAGGCAGGTGGATCTGTGAGTTCTAGGCCAGCCTGGTCTACAAAGTGAGTTCCAGGGCAGCCAGAGCTACATAGAGAAACCCTGTCTCAAAAATCCAAAACAACAACAAAATACACACACACACACACACACACACACACACACACACACATACGCGCGCGCGCACAATGAGATATCTTTATTTTAAGTGTATAGTTGTTTTGTCTTCATGTCTATTCACCAAGTAAGAGAGCACTGGATTAGTGTCATGCGGGTGCTGGGAATCCAACTTTGGCCCTCTGGAAAAGCAGTCACCACTTGTAACCACCAGGTCATCTTTCCAGACCCCAAAATCAATCTTTTTATTTTCATTTATGAGACAGGGTCTCCCTAAGGAGTCTTGAATAGCTTGGAACTCGCTATGTATAAGAGGCTGGCCTCCAAATCACAGAGCTCTGCCTACTTCTGCTGGGATAAGCAGCACTCACGCCCAGTTCCCGCCAACTTCTAAATTTTATTTGTTTCATTTAATGTAATTTTAATATAACGGTCGATTCTCTGAGAATGTCGGACATGCACACAACGTAGTTAGAGCATATTCACCCCTAACTTGTCCAAGATTCACCCCCCCCATCACCTCCTTCCAGGGAAGGGGGTTACTCACCTGAATCTGAAGCCACTAGGATACCTTTATCCCCCACCCAAGTGAGGTCTGCTACTCCGGCCTCGGTCTGGACGCCCGCAGAGCAGAAGCCTTCGTTGGGGGCCGCACTCGGATCCTTGAAAAACCACAAAGAGCCAGCCCAGCAGCGACCACTCAGACTGGAAGCCCCGAGCAGAAGGGAACCATCTACGGTGGGGAGAGGGAAGTCATAAGGTGTCAGATGGAAGGCCCGGTTCGTTTCTATGGTAACCTCATAGAACCCAACGCGAGGCGCGTCTGGATTTGAGATCAGGTTTGTGGGGCAGGGTTGGGGAGCTCCCGAACGCCGGGGAGGGACGCGAGGGCACACGCGCTGGGTGGACTTGGCAGGGTCAGTGCCGGGGAAAGGGCGTCCGGGGCTGGAGAAGGGGGCTTCCAGGCCCGGAACCTCAGCTCACCAGACCGGTACCGTGCAGCCTCCAACTGCCGTTCCATGCAGGCGGGAGCATTGGGGGGCAGGTTCCACTCGCGGGCCGCCGGGGGCACGAGCGGAGGTGGGGTTTCCTTCCGCATCTCCACGGTTCCAGCTCCAACCTAGACCCAAGCTAAACGACACCGACTCCGCGCTGGCGGAACCCCCACGTGTTGCACCTCTGCGCCTCCGCCCCTCTCCAAGGCCTTCGCTCTACTTCTCGCGAGAATCGCGTCCGCACTCCCAGCTCGCTTTCCTTCTGCCCTTCCCGCAGCGGGATTTCGGATTTTTTTTTTTTCGTCTTCTCGCGAGGAAGAAAAAAAAAAAAGAGCAGGACAGAAAGCTCTCCGCTCTCTTCTCGCGAGATTTGTGAGTGGCCATCTTGCTCCTGCCCCTGACAGTCTCTGGTTGGGGTCACAGGGACGTGAAGTTCGTTGCCTGGGCTTTTGCAGACCATGCTGTCCCGGGTGGTACTTTCTGCCGCCGCCGCAGCGGGTGAGAGATGTAGACCCCGGGCTGGTCTGTCAGGATGACTGGGAAGAAGCTAGGCCTGGGGCCCCAGGGAGGTGGAAAGTGGGTGAAGAAAGGACAGCGACGTTTGGGCCTGAGCAGAACTGCCGGACCATGTAGGATCTCGGGGGACGTCAAGGAGGGATGCATGGGACCGAGGAAGGTGGAAACTGAATTTCACCTTGACTTTGCTAACCTGCGCCTTGTGTGTTTGCAGCCCCGTGTGTGAAGAACGCGGCTGTCCTGGGACCAGGGTAAGTATCACAGCGTCTTATTACTCAAGTTTATTTTTCTTAGCTTTAAGCCAGAAATTACTGTTTTCCTTCCTTTTGGCGAACTTAAATCCTCATTCAGACGCTTGTTCTTCTAATTGCCTTGAACATTTTCATCTCCCCCACTGTGACAGAAACCCGAAGACGGTAAGTCTCCCCCCTCACTGTGACCTTCAGCGACAACCCAGCTCGGAATCAGTCACTAGATTACACTCAAGAACAGATCTGGTTAAATATAACAAATAATGTTGTTTTGAGTGTCACCCAGATTTCAGCCTTCTGTTGCCATATCCGGAGTCAGAAATCATGCGTTATTTGGTAATGTTTGTCTTGACTATCACAGAATGAGCGAGACTGAATAACTTACACCACAGCTACGTCTAACAGTTTACAGGCTCCAAAGGAAGAGCGGGGTAGACCTGGCTCCTCCTCTTAGCTGTGACACCTCACTTAGAGCCGTATATAATGGTTTATGAGATATAAGAGAATTAATTCTTGTAAAACTCAGAAAACAGTGCTTAGTGCATTGTGTGTGCTAGAAATGTTGGCGCTGCTGCAGGTAAAATTTTTTTCTTAAAACATATCAGGGTGTGTATGAAGTGTTTTAACTCCCAAACTTAACCATACAGCTTTCAAAGTTTACTAACTGCAAAATGCTTGAAAAGGCTGGCCTCGTTTAGGTGTGATTGTCTTGTGTGTGCAATAAAGTGAGACTGTAATTGATTGCTTTTGACTTACAGAAAAGCCACACCATACAAACATTGAAAAATAGCTGTGTGATCCTTAGCACTGCCAAAAATAAATTATGGCGCAAGTGATAAGTGAATTACGTGCAGAAGATACAAGAAGCACCTTCGTTTCTCCTCTGTCACACTGCATTCTCTGGTACATCGGCAAGGCTTGTCCTTGAGCAGATGCTTTCACTCTGACTATGCCCATACCATTACTATGGCAGGAGCAGTTAAGGACCCTTTAGTCTTCTGTTTTTATCCTGGTACAGCCCGTTCTCGATGTAATAGAGATTATAACAGTCTCCCACCTGAATCCTTCGGAGTTCATATCCCTCTTGAAATAAAATCGAAACTTGGCAAAACCAAGAAACTCAACCGGAATCCACCCCATTTATATCGTGGTTCTCCTCAGCCTTCCATGTTTTGCTTTATGCTCTAGTCGTACCAGCCTTGCTTTTCTCTGGGAAAATGCCAAGCTCCTTTTTTTTCCTTTGAGAATTATATTTTTATTTATCTGTATGTGTGTGTGTGTGTGTGTGTGTGTGTGTGCATGTGTGTGCATGTATGTATGTGTGTGCACTTGCTTGCACGCAAGTGTTTCTACACAAATGCTTGCAAAGGCAAGAGGCTAAGAGGCTGTTAGATCTGGAGCTGGACTTAAGGGTGGTTGTGAGCATAGGTGCAGGGAACTGAACTCTGGTTCTATGGAAGCACAGCAAACATTCTTGACTGCTGGACCATCTTTTCAGCCCTAAGCTTATTTTAGTTGTCATATGTTCATTGTATGAAATACTAGCTTTTGTAAGGACATTTTTATACAAGTGTATAATGTACCTTGAGCAAGCAGAGCCCCCCCCTCTTTGCTCATCTATCTTTTTTCTCTCCTCTCCGTCCCCCATTAGTCTTCATTCTTCTGTATAGTTTGGCTTCCACTTTCATGTTATGTACATGCTGTGCGTATCTATGTAAAATTTGATATCTACAAATGAAAGAAAACATATTTTTATTTTTCTGAGACTGAATTTGACTTATGATAATCTCCAGTTATATGTTTTCTCATCCTGTATAGTTGAATAAAATTTCAGTGTGCATATAGCACATTTTCTCCATCCATTCCTCTGTTGTAGGCACCTAGATTGCCTCCATAATTTAGCTGTTGTGAATAATGCTGCGTTAAGCACTGATGTACCTGTTTCTGTGGTGTGCTGACTTGGAATCCTTGGCGTAAATATATAGGAGTGGTCTAACTGAGTCATATGATCTATTTTTAGTTTTTTTATGCGCCCTTCATATTGATTTTTTTTTTTGGCTGGACTTGTTTACATTCCCACCAGCGGTACATAACGTTTCTAACTTTCTTTTTATTTATTCTTTGTGTCTTTCATAACATGCATCTCCATTGCCTTCATTTTCCCATCCCTTCCTATCTGACTTCTGACCTTGCAACCTCCCCCCCCAATATAATAAAATAAAATTTCAGAGAAGGAGAAATCAATCTCATCATGGAAGGTGTAGTGTGACACAGTGAGTCATGCAGTAACCCTTTTATTCGTGTATATTCATGTATATTCATATGTCCTTTCTTGCCAGTGTTCTTTACAAGGAGTCATTGGTCTGGCTCAAGGCCTCTGCTTTCTACTACACTATCAATGCTGGGTCCTCATCTTGGTTATCCCACTGTTGCCCTATGTTGTGGAGATCCTGCAGCTTTGGATCTGCAGGACCGGTCCTTTCATGTGCTCCAGCAGATCATAGATGGGGTGGACCAGTTCATAACCCTGGTTCTGGGCCTGGCTAGTTGCAGGTTGGCAATGCAGGCTCTCCTGCATTGCCCTAGCTAGTTCTGATTTCACGTCCTCAGGGTTGATTCTCCCACACCCACACCTTCAAAGTCAGTTCTCCTGTGTTGCCTAGGGGCCTCTCTCCCAAGTGTTGTAGCTGATTGTAGCACAATTAATAAAAACACAGAGACCGATATTGGAGTTCAACCTAAAGGTCTAAAAAGCAGAACAGTCAGCCACTGGCTCTTATCTCTTGTCTCTACCTTAGTCCGAAGTGGTGATCCTGTCTCCAGGAATCTCAGAATGAAACTGTATGATAGCTGTCTCCTCCCATTTTATATTCCACTCTAGTGCAGGGATTAAAGTTGTGTTTCACCATTGCCTGGACTGTAAGGCTGACCAGTGGGGCTGTTTTACTCTCTGAACTTCAGGCAAGCTTTATTAAAATTAAAATATAAATGAATATCACTGTAGCTGATGAGGAGTAGGGACAACTCCCCCCTCTCCTATGACCTCAGGACCAGCTTTTCCACCTGCCTCAGGCATTGATGGGGGGGCAATGTGGTAGAGTTTTTTGTTTGTTTGTTTTTGGTGTTTGGGTTTTTTTTGGGGGGGGGGGCTTTGGTTTTTCTATTGCAGCCTTTGTTTGCAGTGTTGTGGAGCTCACTTTGGATCAGGCCTGTCTCAAACTCAGAGATTTGCGTACCTCTGCCTCCTGAGTGCTGGGATTAAAGACGTATGTCACACCAGCTTCATTGTGCTTTTTATGTTCCTGTTGGCTGGTGATATTGAACCATTTTTCTTTGAGACAGAGCTTTCCTCTGTAGCCCTGGCTTGCCTGGAAATTGTTATGTAGTAGACCAGGCTGCTCTCAAGGAGATTGACCTTTCTTGATTAAAGGCCTAGGCCCAGCTTTTTTCTTTGTTTATTCACCGTTTTGAGTTTGGCTGTTTCGTTGACCCATTAATTGATTAAGGTGTATTTCTTATAATTTAGGGGTTTTGTTTAGGGGGGTCATTTGCAGGGGGATTTTGTCGTTTTATTTTTTATTTACAGGATACTAATTCTGTTTAGATGTACTTACCGAGATTTTCTCATTCTGTAACTGTCTCTTAATTCAGTTTCTTCCTTTGCTGTAAAGAAGCTTTTTAATTTTATAAAATTTTATGTCAGTTCTTGGCATTATTTCCTGAATAATTAACACCCGCAGAAAGTACTTGCCTGTGTTTGAAAGCTTTTGTTAGTTTAGGATAGGGTTTTTTTGTTGTTGTTGTTGCTTGTTGTTTTTTTAAATATTTATTTATTTATTACGTGTACAATATTCTGTCTGTGTGTATGCCTGAAGGCCAGAAGAGGACTCCAGACCTCATTACAGATGGTTGTGAGCCACCGTGTGGTTGCTGGAAATTGAACTCAGGACCTTTGGAAGAGCAGGCAATGCTCTTAACCGCTGAGCCATCTCTCCAGCCCCCTAGGATAGGATCTTGTACAGACTGAGAAATAGCGATCTAGCTTCATTCCTCTGCATGTGGATATCCATTTTTCCCAGCATCATTTGTTGAAGTGTTTCTTTGTAGAGGATATGCTTTGAGGTATCTGGAAGACTATTTGGATTTGGCTGTTATTAAATAAAAGGCATTCCAAGCAGAAGCAGCAAAATAAGGCAAGTACTTGTTTTTGAGAGATGTGAATAGTTTGTATGAGTAAAGGTAGGACACCAAAGAAAGGTGAAGGTGCCCAGTTTGCAGGAACTGGGTCAGCTATGCTATATTGTTTGTTTCCTGTAAATAGAAAAGAGCATGCTGAAGGTCAGCCTGCTGTCAGGTTCATGTTTTAGAAGCATGGGCGGTAATATGGAAGAAGGAGCTACCTTTAAGGAGTATTTGGCAAGAAGGGCCATCTCGTTTGGGGATGTTAAAATAGTTTAAGAAAGAGATAACCTTGGCAAACTGAAAAGTACTGTTTCACAGAGCAG